TCCCTCCCGGCCCGCGCGCCCCCGCGTGGTTCCGCCCGGGCATTGCCCTTGCCCGCACCTGCGCAGGAGCCATCGGCCCGCCTTGGAGTGGGGGTGTGAGGTCCCTCCGGAGGCTCAGGCTGGAAGGCCTCAGTAGTCACCACGATTTCCAGAATGCACCCCAGTGTTGGCAAGCCTTAGTCGAGCATCACTGGACACTATTTTTTAAGGCACCTTTCCCCGCTCCCACTCCTGGGGAGCCTGGAAGGTGGAGACGTGTATTTTCACACTGTCGTCCGGGCTGCTGAGCTGTGCTCAGGGGTGTCCGCGTCCTAAAGCTTCACTTCTGGCCTGGTGCACATCCTGCTTTGTTCTCAGGGTCCTACACCAACTGTCTGCCCCTCCACTATGAACTGAGCCTCCCCCAGGCCAGTGTCTCCCCAGGAAAGGGAGGCATCAGAGTCCCTGGGGTAGGGAACTGGAGTGAGGTTGCACAGGGCACTTAGTCTGGGGCTCGGGGTGCTCTCCCACCAGAGTCCGGTTCTGCTGTGCTCCTGACCTTGCCCTGGGAGGGGAGGGCCCTTCCTGCCCTAGTGGGAAAGGACTGGGGGTTCATCCTGCCCAAGCCTCTGTCCTGAGCACCTGCTGTGTGTCAGCCTTGTAATACCAGGCTGCAATACTAGGCAGCGTTGGACATTGGCCTGGGAGTCTGATGGGGACTGTGCTCCAGGTGCGATGAGGGGGTGGTCCAAGTTACACCAGCCGAGACTGGGGTGTATCATTTTGAGCCCGCCTGAGGCTGAGCCAAGATCCATATCCCAACCGCAGTTCAGACAGTTGCCTGCCTGCCTGCTGCCTGCCTGCCTGCCTGGCCAGCACCCATCAAGGGGGAAGAGGGTGAGTCACTGCCTGAGCCTGGTCTGCCCCTCCTTCAAGGCTCCCACGTCTGTGCCCCTGGGCCCTCCTGGACCGAGCCATGCTCACCTGGCAGGGATCTCCAAGTCCTCATCTGCTCTGTGGCTGCCTTGCGCTTGTATCTCTGAGCAGCAGGGCCTGGGTTGGTGGTTCCAGCAGTGTGGGCCGGGCACTGCACCCTTGGACACATACACTCAGTGGCCCTGGTCCTGGGAAGGAGGAGCTGTTGCTCCTGGGAGGCCCTCCTGAGCAGGAGGGTGACAGAGGCTCTCTACTGGGGGAGCTGAAAGCTTGGTTAGGGGAGGGGAGCTCAGGGAGGGCCTCAGTATAGAAGGGAGGGGAAGGCCTGGGGGTACGGGATGTGGAACCTTGGGTGGGCAAGGGAATAGTCAGGGCCTGCTCAGAGCTGGGCCCACACTTGGAACCACTCAACCCACACTGACTTAACCAATTAATTTGAATGAAAGCTAGAGCCAGGAGGCTTGGGGAGGGGCGTTGTCCTTGGTTAGGTTAGGGAGGTCTGAGAGGCGCAGCGCGCCGAAGCTGGTCTGCCCCGAGCCTAGTGAGGGCTCTGAGCACAGGGCCGCACCAGAGGGGCTGTCTTGGAACCTCCCCAAGCTGCCCTTTCAGCAGCTGAAGGCAGGTGGCTCTCTTTGTCTCCAGCTGTAGAAGGATGCACACCCCTCCCCACATCAGCCTGGACATCTGCCCAGGCCTGTGGTGTGTTAGGGCCCATTCTGGTGGTGGGAGCTGGGGCCCAAACCATGGAGTGCTGTCCCCACTGGGATCTCTTCCTCCTTCCCCTCCCCCCTTCTGCCCCTACCCCTGCCTCTGATGGGCTCTGGGTCACTCCCTGGTCCCCTCACCCCTCACCCCAGCTACTTTTATCTTGGCTTTCGTCTTGCAGACACTTCCTGCTAAGTAGTGGTGACTACTTTCTCCAGGCCAGGCCAGGCGTGTGCAGGGGGTGGAGAGGGACCAGGACTTCCTGGGGGGAGGAGCGGGCAGGAGGGGAGTGGTGAGGGGTGCTCCTCTTGGTCACTTCCCCTCAGTGGCAGGCAGCCTCCTGTTCATCTTTGGCCTCCTTCCAGCCCAGTTCCTGCGAGGACCAAGGGTCAATAAATATTTGCTGAGTTAATGTGCACCGTCAGACAGTCTGCCTGCCTCTGGGTGTCAGAGCCCTGTCTGTTTGGGTCAGTCTGTTTGCCTATGTCTGCCTGTGGGGCCAGGGTTTGGGGACCGGACAATGACAGCAAATCATAGGTGTGAAGTCTGGAGAAGGAATCAGCCCAGGAAACTCCAGGAACTTCGCAGTGGGGGAGGTTTGGGGCAGCTCCCCACCAAAGCTCCTGTAGTTGCCTGATTCTCTCCAGGAACCCGAATCCCCCCCCCAGCTGTGCCAGGCTGCTCTATCTCTGCTCCCTGGAGCCCTGGGGGCTACACCCCTTCTGGGAAGCCCCCGTGGGCAAGGGAAGACACCCTGGGCTCCCTGAGCCCCCAGTGACCCTTCTGGTATTCCGCCAGCGAGTGTTCCAATGCAGAGGCTCCCGCGGAAGTGACGGGCTGTCTCTTCAAGGTTAGGTTGCAAGTGCTGCCTGCTCTCTGTCTGTCTGTCTGTCTGTCTGACATTGTTCACTCTGGGGAGACCAGCTGTGCTTTGCTATGGAGAGGCCTGCAGAGAGTGGACTTGAGACCTGCTGTCACAGCCGTGACAGTGAGCTTAGCAGCAGATCCTCTGACACCATCCGGCCTTCACATGAGCCCCAGCCATGGCCCATACTGTCAGGGCAGCCTCCTGGGGGACCCTGAGCCAGAACCGCCTGCCTGGGAGCAGCACTCGCATTCCTGGCCCCCAGGCTCTGTATGAGACAATGAACGCTGGTTGTTCCAAGCTCTAAATTTTAGGTAAACTTGTGATGCAGCAATAAATAACAAGACATTTTATGTAAAGTTTAAGATAAATATAAGTTACAATAGCAATAAACACATATTCTCCCCGGCCCCCCAGGGGTCACCACTGCTAGCCCTCATGAGGGTGGGATTGTGGAGGAGGTTAGGTGAGGACTGGAGTGGGGGTGGGGATGGACCCAGAAACAGGCCTGCAGCTGAGGTGGTGAGCAGAGGGGCTTGGCCCGGCTTTGATTTGGAAGCAGTTTCCAGCGAGACCCGATGGTGGGTGCAGCCCCTGCCATGTGGGTGCTGACCAGCCACAGCTCAAGCCTACCCCTGTGGTATCCAGGCAGGGCTGGAGGTATTACTGAGGCAAGACCTGATGGGGCACTGGGATTGGAGCAGGGGTTGAGGGTGCACAAGCCCCTGGCTTCAAACAAGGACAGGTGTGGGGGACTCATGCTGAGACCCCCAGCATCCACTGCCCTGGGCGACTTGGCCACAGCTGCCCTGCCAGCCACAGCACGGACACCAACATGCCTGGGCCACGATGACCCTTTCTGCAGCCTGGTTACCAAAAAGCACCTGGCTGTTGCTGCCTCAAGGATGTCACCTCCTGGTGCCCCTCTGACCCGGACACCTACCTGGTCAACTGGCGGCTTTGGGCTCGCCTCCTAGATCCCTACTGTGAGTGAGGGTCCTGATATCTGTGGGGGGTGCTGACTCAGCAGAGTAGATTGGTACCAGAAGCCTGAAGCCCTGTGCTTGGCCCTCATCACCCCTGGACCTCACAGTAAGGGAGGTGCTTGTACCTGAGCCAGAAGTGGCTTTCCACCTCCTGCCCTCCCATCCTGATCCTGGCGGCAGGGAAGGGCTTCCCCAGCTCTACCCCTCTCCTCCCCACGGCTCCCCCAGCACCCGTTGCCTTGTCCCAGTACAGTGAGGGGAAGGGCCCAGCAGCGCCAGGTGTGGGGAGGTGCCGTTGTCCTCTCCTGGATTCCACATTCACCTCCCAGCTTCTGCGCTAACCACAGTCCGGGCCACACATCCCCGCCCAGAGGGCCAGGGGCTGGCTGTCTCCAGCCTGAGCACCCCCAACTCCTGACCCTCTTACTGTCTTTCAAGGCCCCAGGCCCTTCAGGGCTCTTCCTTCCAACCCAGGTCAGGCAAGTGTTTCAACAAAAGGACCAGGAATGACTGGACATCCACGTACAAATAAAATAACCTGGAACCAGGCCTCACACCATATGCACAGATGAACTCGAAACAGATCAAATGCAAAACCCCAAACTATAAAACTTTCTGGAGAAGACTGAACATTTTTGTGACCTTGGTTAGACAAAGATTTCCTAGATACAGCACAAAACACACACACCAGTCCATGAAAGATAAAATTTTAACTTCTCACCTTCAAGAGACTGTTAAGGAAACGGAAAGATGAGCCGTACACCTGCAGAAAATGTTTGCAAATCACACGTCTGATGACTCTTCAAAGATCTGTCAAGACTCAGCAATAAGAAAAGAACAAACCCAATTAAGAAAATAGGCAAAAGGCCCGGACGGGCGTGGCTCAGTGGTTGAGCATCGGCCTGGGATCCAGGCGATTGGAGTTCGATTCCCGGTCAGGGCACGTGCCCAGGTTGCGGGCTCGATCAATGACTCATCATTGATGTTTCTATCTCTCTCTCTCCCCCTTCTTTCCTCTCTCTGAAATCAATAAATATATATTTTTAAAAAAAGAAAATAGGCAAAGGATTTCATCAGTCATTGCACAGAAGGTAACGGGTAGCAAAGGAAACACATGGAAAGGTGCTCAGCATCATAGGTCGCTAAGGAAATTCAGGTTGAAGCCACAGTGAGCCACCACTGTACATGTACTCGAATGGCTGCTGTTAAGAAGACTGGCCACGCCTAGTGTTGGTGAGGATGGGCCTCACACACTGTCGGTGGGAGTGAAAATTTAACCATATTTGAAGACGGTTTGGCAGTTTCTTAGAAAGTTAAAAGTATTCCTGTCCTGTGACCCAACCACCCCACCCTAAGTATTTACACAAGAGAAATGGAAGCACAAGTCCACACGAAGATCCGAACTCAAAGGTTCCCAGCAACTTTATATAGAATAGGCCCAAACCGGAGGTAACCCAGAGGCCCATCAGCGGGTGAATGGGCAAACCAGCTGCATATCCAACAGAGGAACGCTCCTCATTAGTTTTTTTAAAAAAGAACTATTGATGTACACAACGGTGCATGAATCTCAAAATGATCATGCTGAGTGACAGACACCAGACGCACTGCCCTCTTGTCCTGTGCAAGTGGGGACAAACTGTATGGTCCATTTGTATAAAATCCTAAGCAGTGCCACTTACCTACCGTGTCATGAGCTCTGATTGGCTACGTTGGGAGCAGCAGAGGGAGGCATTTCCAAAGGCCCAGGAACCTTTAGGGGTGATGGGCACGTTCGCTCTCTGGGTTACGGTGATGGCCTCCTGAGTCTATAGCTGCCAAAACGTAGTGAATTTTACACCTTCAATATGTGCAGTTTGTCATGTGTACATTATACCTCATTAAAACTATTTAAAGATTTAAAGTAAAAAGCCCGTAATCTGTGGAAAGCATTTAAGACTGCCTGGCATGTAATAGCTGCTCGTGGAAAGGTGGCTCCGTTTTTGAGTGTTTATTGTCTCAAGGTCCAGGGCTCAAAGGGCCTTCAAAAAAGGCGGCCTCGCCCTCCAGGAACTGTCCAGGGGGCTGGGCTCTGTTGGCTTCCAGGGGTCCTGCTGCCCTCTGGCGGCTCTCCGGGGCACAGCGGGCTGCGCGCCTGGTCGCACCTCTGCTGCCCCCTGCTGGGGTCCCCGTCCGCCTGCCCATCGCCGAATCCTTTCCTCCCACCTAGGCGCTGGTCTCTGCAGGGACTTGACGCCTCCACGAGGCTCTGGGTTAGTATCCCGATGACGTGCTGTAGAGTCCTCCTTGTTTCCTCACCCTACATCAGACACCCCCCACGCCCAGGAGGCCCCTGATTGGGGTGGGAATTAACTCCAGTGACAGCTGGTCTTCAGAGGCCTTCTCGGTCCTTCCATGGCCTCCCTCCCTCCCCCACCGCACTCTCCACAGCCTCAGAGCCAGCCTTCCTGCCTCCCCGTGAGCCTGTATTCTCTTCTTCTAGGGCCACCAGGGCAATTGTCAAAAAGGCCCTGCTGCAAACCCCCAAACTCCCTCCCATCGTGGAAGCCCACGTTTGTCTAGACCAGCAGATCCGCGCACACACGTGAGCCACCAGATCTGAGACAGGCCCTGGGTGTCCACATGGAAACAGAAAGTGCCAGGATCCGCTGCCAATGCCCACATCCTCGGATGGCAATACCAGCTGGGTTGCAGGCCTGACATGAAAGGTGGAGCAGTGAGGCTCTACAAAGCAAGCAAGGCGTCCTCATGACATTGCCAAGACTTCGGGGCAGGCAGGGAGCTCAAGGGAACAGGAAAAGTGATAACCACAAAGGGAACTGTTGATAACTTGGACCATGATAAAATTTGAATTTTATCAATTTAAATTTTGGTTCATCCAAAGACACCCTGAAGAGAGTGAACAAGTGAGACAGACAGGGAGAAGATACCGAAAGTGCAAACATTTGGTAAGAACGCACGTCTTCCATCCAGACGATCAGCTGTGCCCTCTGTAACAACCCTTCATAATCAACTGGCAAATGCAGATAAGTGTTTCCCTGAGTTCTGTGAGCTGCTTCAGCAAATGAATCCAAACCAAGGGGCAGCAGCCATGGGAACCTTGGATTTGTGCCAAGTCGGACAGATGTCTTGGGGCCTGGTGTCAAAGGGGGGGCAATCTTGTGGGACAGAGCCCTTAACTTGGGATCCGACGCTCATCCAGGTAGACGGCGTCAGGACTGACTGAAGTTGGTGTCACGGAATTGCTTGGTGTGTGGAACCCCCACGTCTGGACGGGAGTAGAGTGATTTGAGCGTCTAGAAGGAAGCCTCAAGGAGACACAAGAGTGAAGAGGTTCGGAGGGTGACTGTCCCCAGGTGAGGACTGCCCAGGAGCACACAGCAGGCCTCACCTTCCCATGTGACATCTGGCAGTGGCCGCGCGATATGCTCGCTCACCATTTGTCCCCTTGGGCTTTTCCTACACACCCGTCACATGGAATAGTTTGCCGAGACTCAAACGCCCATGCCGGGCTCTTTCTTGTGATGCCTCCCACTGTGACCCCCACAGCCTTGGCCCTGCTGCCCCTGCCCCCAAGTCTTGCCCCTCAGACTTCCACAGGACTTTTGTCCCAGGCTCTCACTTCCTCCTCACCATGTGGTGCTTTTGGGAATGGGCTCATCTTCCTGTGTGTAGACGTCTGCTGTCTAACCCATTACTCCCTCCTTGTGTTCCCAGCAGGGAGGCTGGATATAACTGTCACAGTGACCTGCCCAGGGAAATGCAACGCAGCCCCAAGGTCCAGGATGGCCCAGGGCACTGTTAACAGCAGAGGCTTTGGCACCCAACTCTGCCACTTACTGGCTGTGTGGCTGGCATAGGTCACTCACCCTCTCTGTGCCTCACCCAACTCAACCATGAAAGAGAGTCCTCCTGGCTCCCCCTCAGGATGGATGGTTTTTGGGAAAGTGCTCAGGGGGTCCTGCCAGGGGCTGCTGCTCTCCTGCCCGTCTCTTGGTGACTGGTTCACCCTGGGGCTTGGCAGCACCAGATGCCCTTTCCTGGCACCGCCCCCATCTTGGGTCCCATTGCCAAGAGCCTAGATGGGGAAATGCTGGAGGAAGTGACCCACTTTTCTCCCCTGACCCCTCCCATGCTCTCCAGAGACCAAGGGGCCATGCCCATTTGAGGTGCCCTCCCCTGAGAAGCTTCAACACCCTCATGTGTCCCTCAAGCCCCCAGCAGGGTAGGCAGTGCTGCCAGGGGAGGGGCTAGCAAGCCCTTTGAGTCCAGCCCTGGAAGGTGCAAGCCTTGTCCCCAGGTCTGCAGTGGACCACCTCCAAAGGACCTTGAGGAACATTTTGGAATCCATCATTTTCCAACCTGTCCCTCTAACTCCCTCCACTCCCTATAGGTGTCAGGGTAAAGCCCTAAGACCCAGAGGGTCTGGGCTGATCTTGGGGGGCTGCTGGCAATGAGGCAATGGGAAGTGGGGGCCTGATCAAGGTCTCACAGCAGTGGGGCCCCTTTAAGAGAAAAGAGCAGCCTTCAGCTAGGAAAAGGGAGGCCACAGTGCTGATTGCTGATCAGCATTCTCTGGCCAGCGTCTGGCCTGACCAGGAAGGTGTCCCTCACATAGCTGGAGGCCCCTCAAATGCCATCTATTTGTGGCCTGGACCCTGATGGCTGGTAGGAGACATGTGACCCTGGGACGGGTATTTTTGGCCATGGGGGTGGGGCCTGCTTGGCGAGCCCAGCACCATGCTGCTCTTGGACAGGGAGCTTAGACGCCCAGCGCTGCTGCCCCCGACTGTGGGGTCCCAGGTACGACACCAGCAGCCCCTCATTCCTGCCCTGAGGGGTCCCAGAGGTGGATAGCCGCTGCAGGGGCCTTCGCTAGAGCTAGAGAGGAGGGCAAGGTTCAATGGGTCAGGAAGCCACAGTGCCCTGGGGTCAAGGCATCTCCATCTCAGGATGGACTGGCTGGAGCTGGCAAAGGGCAGCCCCTCGCAGGCGGTCAAGAGGCTAGAGGCTCTCCAGCTAGGGTCGCCTTGGGTCCCAGGGAGCGACCTTTGCAGCTGGGCATATCTGGGTCAGGGGCACAGACCCTGAGGATGACCTAGGGAATCACTGGGAGTCAGCAGGCTCATTTCTGTTCTGTGACTTCCTCGCTAGGTTCTCCCTGATGACCCATTCGTGTTCTGGCCAACACCAGTGTGACCGTGGTGAGCTTCGAGGAAGCACAGCAGCCTGTCCCAGCCAAGGCTAGTGGAAGGTCATTGCCAAAGGCTGGTCACCTGCAGGACACTGTGGCCCCACCCCCATGGCCAGCTGCCACCTGGGGCATGCTGGGACAGGCCTGGACTTACCATCACGGGGCTGGCCTGTCCGGAGAAAAGTTGGAGATGTGACGGAAAGCCACTTCTGGGATTGAAAATCCAAACACGAGGATCCCATTTCTTAGTGCGCTTCACCAATTTAGAGCTGTATTTGGTGGAAGGAACGTGACCGCATGTCATAAAGTTGCCGTTTGGGGTCAGTTTGGAAACAGGGACAGTAGGGCTGTGGGTATTGTGACTTGGAGGAGCAGCCGGCTTCCCCCTGCATCCTGCTTGGCTTTTTCGTTCAGATGCTGGCCCAGCCTCAAGCCAGGACGGCGGAGGGGGCGCCCGGCAGGCAGGCAGGTGGCGGCAGTGTGTGAAGACCCTGAGCTCTGCTGCTCACGTGCCCTGCTGACCCGAGATGGAGAACTTCCAGTACAGCGTCCAGCTGAGTGACCAGGACTGGGCTGAGTTCTCAGCCGTGGCGGAGGAGTGTGGGCTCCTGCAGGCCGGCCTGGCCTCTGGAGATGAGCTTCTGTCCAGTGACATTGACCAAGGGGACAGCAGTGGCAGCAGTCCCCCCGGGCCCCAGCCCCTTCTCAGGGGGAGTGGCTGGCCTGGCTTTGAGGAGGTGGACCAGGAGGCCACGAAGCAGCTGGTCAGCCGGTCTTGGCAAGAGCCCGTCCTGGCCCTGGGGGCCGATCAGCAGATGCCCAGCTCATCAGCACAGTCAGGAGCCCGGCCGGCCCTTGGCTCTGGCGCCGCCTCTCCCGACCAGAGCACGTCCCTCCAAGGGCCAGTATCTTCCAGAGACGAGATGCAGAGGCTTCTGCAGGGGCCAGCCCCCCGGGACCCTGCCCCTTGTCCCTCTGGTGAGCCTCCACCGAGTCCCGAGTCCCCAGGCCGCAGCACTCTGCCCCAGAGACCCCCCAGCAGCCCCGGAGCCCTGCCCCGAAGCCCCAGCCGAAAGAAGAGGCGCTCTGCTGGTTCCAAGGGGAGTGGGCGCTCAGGCGCCGCAGGCTCTGCTCCCACCCGGCTGGGCTCCCCGCTGCTCACTGAGGCCAGGTCTGAGGAGGGTCTTGGCCCGGCTGGGTCCGGGAGGAAGGGTCTCTCAGCGGGGACGGCTGAGCAGACGGCAGAGCGGACAGCCGAGCGGACGACAGGAGCCGGGCAGGACAGCCTGGGCCCCGAGTCTTCTGGAGCCCTTGAGCAGGTGGCCCGGCCAGGGCCAGGACTGGATCTGCCTACACTTGTCCCTACTACTGAGCAAAGTACAGACCTTCTCAGAATGACCCCCAGAGCTGAGCTACATGCTGTGTCCACACCTGCCCAGGAACCTTGTCCAGATTTCTCAGCAGCTAAGTCAGACACTGCTCTGTCTACACCCGCCTCCAAGCTTTGTCCCGATCCCACTCTGTCTATACCCGCCTGCAAGCCTAGGCTGGATGTGGACCTGCCCCTGTTGGACCCAGAGGTCAAGCCAGAGGGGGACTCATCTGTACCTGTCTCAGAGGCGCAGTCCGATGTGGATGTATCTACACCTGCCCCCATTCCCCAGGCTGGGCAAGACACAATGGAGACCGAGGTTGCCCCACTGGCCAAGTTGGATTTGAGCTCTGTTGTGTCTTCAGGGGGGCACCGAGAGGAGCCCAAAGAGGAGACCTCAGCAGGTGCCCCCGGACACCCCTCTGGGGAGCCCCCCCCAGGTCCCGTCCAAGTACCCAGGAAGAAGAAAGTGCGGTTCTCTATGGCTGTGCCCAGCCCCAAGGAGCCAGGGTCAGAAGAGGCCTTGCGCCCGCTCTCACCAGCCACAGCCTGGCCCTCAGCCCCCAGGACAGCAGCGGGGGGCCGCGGGGGGCCTGGAGCTTGGGACGCAGTGGCAGTTGGGCCCCGGCTTCCCCAGCCTCGGATCCTGAAGCACCTGCCCCCTCCTTCCCCTTATGCCTCTGGGGGACCTGGGTATAGGAGTTGCTTTGCAGTGACCGTCCCAGAGGCCTACGAGTTCTTTTTCTGTGATACTATCGAGGAGGAGAATGAAGGTGCTGAGGAGGAGGCAGAGGCCGGTGAGGGCCAGGCCCAAGTCCAGTGGCCAGAAGTGTGTGAGTTCTTTTTCCGGGACAGCCGAGCCAAGAGGTCTGGGCACTGGGGGGGCCATTCCCCAGCCCCAACCCCCCAAGCCAAGCCTGCCCCAGCCCCTCTGCCTGGAGACCCCAAGCCCATCTCCATCCCCGAGGCCTATGAACACTTCCTTGGGGAGGACAAGTCGGAGGGCGTGCTGGGGCCAGCTGCCCTCCTCCAGCTTCAGGCCACAGAAGCCCCCACGTCAGTGCCCCAGGGTGTGAAGCCTGGCCCTCCACCGGAGCCCAGCCCAACGGCGGCAGAGCAGCTCGACCTGGTGCTCAGGCAAGCAGGTGCGTGTCCCGTGGGTCCCACGGCCTGTCCAGGTCTTGGGAACACGCTGTTCAGGGATGTCAGCCAGGAGGGCCATTGGGGGAGGGGCAGGCCAGAAGCCTGGTAGTGAGCCAGTGGGGAGGCCTCAGGGATGATCTGGGAAGGAGAAGCAGTTCCTGGCCATCCCAGGACACCGTCCAGGTGGGGCAGCCCAGGCCAGGTCATTCAAGGGTTTGGCTGTGCACTGACCGTCACCCTGAGCTCAGTGTGAGCACCCCAGCCTTGAGAACACTGGAGCCTGGCCCCCAGCCTCCAGCAAGGCAGGCGCTGGGGCTGCGGGCACTCAGTGGACTTCCTCTCACATTTCTTCTGGAAGATATTTTAGAAACCAGGGAACAGTGCCCCACAGGCAAGTTGAGCTGATTCAACTGTGCCACACACTGCCCTGTGTCTTGGGACAGAGGTATCACGGGGAAGATGTGACTCAGAAAGTGTGAACCAGGGCAGACGTATCCCCAGATGTGTCCAGGACATACATGTCCCCAGACAGACATGTCCCGGGACAGACCTGTCTGAGTGGAGCAGCTGGAGCTCAGAATATGCTTTTCTTTCCTAGGGGAGCCGCTGGGTCCCCTCACCTCGTTTACCTTCAGCCAGAATGACATGTGCCTGGTGTTTGTTGCTTTTGCCACCTGGGCTGTGAGAACATCAGATTTGCATACCCCAGACGCCTGGAAAACAGGTTTGGGGGCCCTGGGGGAAGGGGGGCTGGTGCCCAGAAGTCAAATGGAGGGACAGGGGTGTCGCCTCACCTGCTGGGCAGCAGGGATGAGGGGTGCCTGGGGAAGCACAGGTTTCTCCCCTGACCTTGCTCTTCCTGTCGCTGACCTGCCACTCGCCCCACTGGCCTCCTCTCGCCCTTCAAGGGCCAGGCCACGCAGGAGGAAGGTGGTGACCAGGAGTCGGCATTCAGGCAGCCTCTTGCTTCCCTTGCAGTCTTGCTGGCCAACATCGGCACCATCTCTGCCATCCGCTACTTCCGCCGGCAGGTAGAGCGGGGACGCCGCAGCCCCAGTCCCAGCCCCTAGGACCCAGGCTTGGCCTACGAAGACGCAGGACAAGGAAATGGCCACAGGTGCTGAGGACGAGGCACTGCCCTCTGGCCTTGTCCTTTGACCCTTGTGTTCCACGGCAGCATCTAGGAAGGAGCCAGTGTCCTCAGTCCTGGCTTTTTTGGACTCTACCCGAGGCTCTGGCCATAGCCGAAGCCCAGGTTGTGCTCAACACCTGGGAGGGGAGATTTGGAAAGTTGGGTGGCCTGGGCTGAGCAGGGAGCTGGTTAGGAAGGTGGTCAGATTGGCAAATAAAAACAGTGTGTCCAGTAAAACTGGAATTTCAGAAGGCAATATTTGAGATGTACATATACTAAGAAATTCTTTGTGGTTTCTCTGAAATCAAATTTAAATGGGCATTTTGTCTGGTTATCTAGTTAGAGGGTGAGTGACAGGACGGAGCATTGGAAATCAGAAGGTGTCAGAGCAGCAGCAAGGGCCCCACCTGGAGATCTGGGCTGGAGGCAGGGGCAAGGGGGCTGGGGAGGAGTCCTAGGGACTCTCTGCTCTGTTCTCAGGAACCCCTCCAGAACCCAAGGGCCTGTAGCTACGGTCTCCTTGGGTTCTGCCTGAGACAGTGAGCAGGTACCTAGAGGGGTTGTAGGAAGGCAACCCCAGTGGTCCCTTCAGGGTGGGGTCTGCAGGGCAGAGCCTGGGTCCCCTCCTTGGGGGAGCTCTGGACGAGGTGGGCAGCAGAGTTCCATGGTATCAGGTGGAGGGACGGGACACCTGGGCCTGTCCCAGGGCTGAGAGGAGCCAAAGAGAGGGCAGGAAGGTGGGCAGGGGGTCAGCTAGGTGCTGGAAGGGCATCCAGCCAGAGGCAGCGAGCACAGGCCCCTGGGGCAGCAGGGGCCTCCTGGCAGCCAAGTGAGCACTGGACAGTAAAGGACACATGGACACAGACAAATAAAATCTCCTTCTCTTCGCTCTCAGTTTGTCTCTTGTCCATTTCTCCCAAGCAAGGCCACCCCACTCACAGGCGCCCAGGCAGCCTCCTCCTACCTCTGGCCTTGCTGATCTCTGACCCTCGTGACCTCTGACCTCACGTACTCTGACTCTCGATAACCCAACTTTCTCAGCCCTCTGACTTTCACCCTCACCCCGGCTCTGTTCTCCCACTCCCAGGGGAAGCCCCCATCAAGCCCCTCCCTCACTCTTTCCCTGGGGGCAGACCAAGGTTCGGCCCCTCTGGGCATCGTGCCCTGTTCTGTGGGTGATGTTTAGGGCATCCTCAGGGTGAAGCTGTCCTCCGGGCCCCTCCAGAGCCTAGAAAATTCAGGGTTCTGAAGGCCCCCTTCACCCCCTGGTGTCAGACCCTGACTGGGTATTTGGTGGGTAGTGGTCGGCCAGTGGCCCAACAAAGAAAGACCCAGGCCTTGCTGGAGACCCTCCCACGGTCAACACTGGCAGGTGGTCCTGAGAAGCACCCTGCCTGGGGCCCATCAGATCCACTGGCTGAGGCCCCCCTCAGCCTCCGCTGCTTCACGGGGCCACCGCTGGCGGGAAGGAGATGGAGCCTTGTCCCAGATGTTGTCATAGCTCCGGGGGGGTTCGCCATCTGGTGGGAGGAGCAGAAGTGCATGCGTTTTCAGGAAGCAATACCCAGAGATCCCCCCAGAAAGAGGCAGGGTCTTTCACTCACCTGGGGGAGGCAGCAGGGGGTCGGGCGAAACTTCCCTGGAAGTGGAGACCTGGAGACCCCAAACACAAGTGTGAGAGCCAAGCCTTGAGGAAGGGGGCTTGGAGACCAGCCCATGAACTGCCCCAGCCCCCTGCCCTTGGTGTCCACTGCCCTGGCTCTGTCTGTCGTGCTCCCTCAGATGGTAGGCCTGGGAGGCCCACAGAACCCCTTTCCCAGGGTGGGGGCTGCTACTCACGAGCTGAGGAGAGTCTGGGGGCCGGGGCCCACGGCCCTTGATGGAGCCCCGGTGTCGCTGAGAGGCTCGGGACTGTAGGGCTCCCTTCCTGGAGAGCATGTGGGGGCTGGAGACTCCAGAGCTGGGGTCGGAGATAGGCACAGACACAGGGACGGAGGGGAACGGGCTCGAGGGCGCGGGTCCAAGTGAGCTCTTCATCGCAGTGAGGAACTGCCAGGAAAGTACGGGTGACTCAAGGCCCTAGGCTGAGGGACTCCTGCCCACAAACCCCCCTCGCCTCAGCCTGAGCAGACCTCAGGCTTCCTCTAAACCTCAGGCTGTGGCAGCCGCAGATCCCAGGGGGAGGAGCATAGTCTAGACCTGACTCCAAACAGCAGGCTGCGGGCACATCCAGCCCTTTCTGTTACCAGGGGGCACTGACCTCATCCAGGCCCCGGACATCTCTGATTTTGTGGTGGGAGGTGGCAGGTGGTGTGTAGGGGTCGGCGTACAGGGGGGAGTGAGGTGTCTCCAGTGAGTGGTCGAAGGCCTCTGGGCCACCCTCCAGGTTCATCCTGGTCAGCTGCAGGCAAGAGGTGGAAGAGACAGGCTTCCTGAAGCTGGACACACCCGAGTCCTCCCTTCTCGAGAGAGAAGGTGGTTCTAGCACCTGAGAGACGGAGGCCAGGGAGGCTGAGGGCAGAGGGAGAGCTGGGCTGGGAGCTGGGCTCAGTGCCTGGGCCCACCTTGGTCAGGTCCAGGTGCAGCGGAGTGGCTGGGCCCGGCCCCTCGCTCCGGGCCTTGCTCCTGGGTGACCGACTGCTGCCACCCCGTCTTAGCTCTGCCTTCTGCCCACTGGTGCTGGTACAGCCAGGGTTGGCCTGGTCCTGGGGGGAAGAGGACCTTCTAGAAGGTTCCCGGGGCCCTCTCCCACACAACCCTCTGCATCCCCTCCCCTGAGGAGCTAGCATCCTGTGAGGGATGGGGTGCCACGAGGACCCAGGCTCCCAACACAAACTCGCCTCATAGCCCCTGCCCATACCCCCAGACACTCACAGATGCAGGCTGGGCAGGGCAACCAGCTGTGGATGGAACTGAGCACTCAGGGAGGGAGTGGCTGGTGCGAGTAGAGGGGGGTGCCAGGTACCCCGAGTCCCAGCTGGTCTGTCCATCTGAGGAGAGTGAGCCTCGGCCACTGCCCAGCACCTGGCAGTGGGTGGGGGGTAGTGAGCCGCATGGCAGGACCCCTCTCCACTGACCCATGGCCAGCCCCACCCTCTGGCCTCCTGTTTTCATCCACCCACCCACCCAGGGCCTGCTGGCTGCTCACCTGGGTGGGCCCCCGCAGCCCCGGGAAGCTCTCAGGGCCGGGTAGCAGGGGGCCTCCCTCCCTGTGGCAGACGGTCTGCAGGCAGAGCAGCCAGTGGCTGTAGTCCTCGTAGCTGGCACACAGCACTCGGATGGTGTTGATGAGGCGGCCTGCACACAGACACCAAGAGGTGTCCCCCAGGCCCACTGAAGGGCGGCCCCCTGGGCTCGTGCCCCCCC